GGAGAAACTTGTTTAGGGCGACTCCATCTTACTTCCTACCTCCATGGTTGGAACAGTTAAGCATGGCGGTGGAGGTGTTCTTGTGGGGGGGGGCATGACAGCGTCAGGACTAGGTAATTTGGTATTTATTGATGGCATAATGAATCATTCTCTTTATTTAAATATTTTAAGAGACAATTTAAAATTATCAGCCCAAAATTTGGGCATTGGAAACTACTATATTTTTAATCATAACAATCCTAAGTATACGGCTCTCAACGTTTGCCTGTAATGTCTCTATAATTGTCCACAGGTTTAGAAAACACCACCTCAGTCGCCAGATTTAAACCCCATAAAACACATTTGGAAAGAGCTGAAGGTTAAAATACGAAAACACGACATCAAAACGAAAAGCGAACTCAAAACAGACTTGATGGAAGAACATTGATACAGAAATTACACACACACACACACACACACACACACACACACACACACACAAAAAAAAAAAAAAAAAACTAAACAAGTAAAATCTATTCCCAGACATTTAAAAGCTGTTGTGGATGCCAAAGGATATCCTACTAATATTAATTTAATGAAAAATGAAAATATTTACTAATATGTCAAGATTTTTTTGAAGTGTACGAAGCTTTTGAGAGATAAAATGTTTGCCATTTTTTTATTATTAATTTTTTAAAAATATTTCATGTAATTTTGTTACGAATAGATTATAGATCTTATTATTAAAACCTCATTCAAAAAGTTTACTTTTAATTAATGGATAGAGCCCTATTTCAATGAAAATCATAAGTGTACGAACACTTTTGGGAGCCACTGTATATGCATTATGCATTTATAAAAAGGCTCATCGGCAAAGAATTATTAAAAATTACTATGAGACTTTTATCACAAAGTGAAACAGGAAACAAATATATTTAAAATAATTTTTGCAAATTAATTAAAAAGTCAATAGGAAATAGACATCCATAACACATATCATAAAAAACATTCACAAAAATAACTCTTTTAATTATTAAAGTGAAGAGAAAATTAAAATGAATTAAAAATTTTGTTAAATAAAAACAACTATTGCACGAAGACGGGAAAAAGTTACTGATGAACTAATTCAAAACTTAGATCAACAATATTCAGTATAACCGGATGCAATTCGTAAAAGATATAAAAGCTGTGGCTTTTATTAAAGTGAAATATCCTTAATGAGCCAGCTTCCAAAATCTAAAAATCCTCACCAAAATTTTCTTTCAAATACACACAAAAGGCATAAATATATGAAAAAAGAAAATATATCAAAAAGAGAAAACTCTTTTTTTCCCCATTTTTAATTACTGAATAAATTGTAATGAAGATTTTCGATATCGAGATGGCTTTATAAAATACACTAAATCAAATAAAAATGCGACCACCTTCTGCTAAGTTAACACATAGACTGCCCAACATGAGATAACTTGTATTATTAGCGCTCTTTTTCAGGATCCCAGTACGAGTTATCTCATAATTTCTACACTTGCCACTTTTGCGCCGCTACAAGTTACTCACTTACCACTTGTTTTAGCTGTACCGATGTGACAAGTTGAAGCACGTCTGTATGAATCAACTCGTAGTGGGCTTCTGCGAAGAGCTTTGTCTAACAAAAGCCGACTACGAGATAATTCATAGGACCCTTTCTTATAAAAAAAAAATTCCAGTAAACTTTTTAATGATTGTTACGAATCATAATTAGAATTTTTAATAATATAACATGATTAAATCGATTTGGCTTCTTGGACCGGAATCCAAAATGTGCTGTGGCAGTCAATTTGTTAATATTAGTTCAATGTCTTCCATCATAAATGATAATGGTTGTCATAAGTTGTTGGTGATAAAAACACTACTATGATAGTTTTTAAAACTATGATTTCAATCAACTGTTAGTCTCTTCTCTAATTTATAAATTTATGCTTCCTTTCAAGACTGACAGATAGTTCCCATCTTTTTTTACTTGAGATTTTGTAATTTCATTGTTTTCAGGAAGCGTATGGAATACAGTTATGTCTGATGCAGGAAAATATATTTAATCTGAAAAATGTCTTCCCTTTGTTACCTCTACACAACTATTTTGTATATAAACATATCCAAACTGGCTGGTGTATTCATCAAATATATGTCACAGTCTCACAGTATGATAAGTTCGTAATAGGCGGTTAATAATTAGAATAAGACAAAACAAACATTAATACAATTTCATCTATTTCAATGCAAAACACTTTTCTTATTTACAAGATACAGGTGACATAGCAAGAGGTAGCAAAAATGAGCAAAAAAAAAGAAAAAAATTAAATACAAGATGCTTTCATTCAACCTATACATATTTACAATGAAACTCTGGATTAAAAAAATCAGAGTCAAATAAAAAGTTTATAAGATTAGAAAGTCATTTAAAACTGTTTCAAGTATCTGAGTGATTAATATCATACAGTTCTTCAAAGAATTTATGACAAATCATTGAATATATACATAGCATACCATATTTAATATTATCAGCCTTCTATATGTCCTAATTTTATATTGCACTTAAATTTTTAAAAAAGGTAGAGTGCAGGTACAACAACACAGATTTAAAATCAAGATTTCATTGGAAGGGTAATTAAAATCATGGTTCAAATGAAAAATTACTTTTGCATAAAAAATCATGCTTTTTTACTTAAGCATAATGCTATCACATTTACATTTGGTTTCTGCATTCAGTATCAACACAAGGGGAAAAAACAACTTACTCGTAACTATTTAGAAAAATAATGGAAATGGCTGTAAAGGTATGAAATAATATAAATGTACAATTCTACATTGTTAAACAGAGTGTGGGAAAAAAAAAAAAAAAAAACTACTTATACAGAATACTTTATACAGAATACACTTATTTACTAAATTACTCTTCTCAGACCTTCAATGTAAGAAATACATAGTACAGTCATAATTCAATTTTGTAAGAGTTTTCTTACTCCTGAAGATTAAACAATAACTTTCGGATTTAGCAGTTTTAGTAATATTATGCTGCAGCAAAATGAGCAATTTGGATAATATACACCATATCCATAGAAATACTTAACCCGGGTTTGATCGCGCTGGGTGTCTCACACCCAGTGACTCCTATTTCGCACTTTTTCTTCCCAACCATTTTTCAAAAATGGACGAGTCTTCATGTAGCTGCCTCAAAGGTCATAACCTTGGAAGGGGAGAATCGGCGAAAGAATTCTAAAAATAGATCTCCTTAAATCGCGGGGCTTGGGTATCTCACACCCAGAGCGAGCATTTCTGTAACTGTTCTCAGTACAGGCAGACGTATCTAAATCGTTCTTTCGTTATGGCGCGTTACCGCACTTATGACGAAGAAATGCGGTATTTGAAAAATTTACTGGATACTGTTTCTTCTGATGAAGAAAATATAGAGGAAGATAGTGATTTTTCAGGTAATGAAGAGCCAGATGACGAAGAATATTGTAGTGATCATGATTCTTCAACAGAAATTGAATCTGATTCTGAAAACGATGTTTCAGATTCAAGTGAAGATAATTATTTTATCGGAAGAGATAACATAACGAAGTGGAATAAAGAGAAATTCAAAGCTAATGTTAGAATTTCTGCGAAAAATATAATATCAAAACTCCCAGGAAATACACCCGTTTCAAAGAATGTAACTTCTCCTGTGGATGCTTGGAACCTCCTTATATCTTCTGATATGATAAAGAAGTTAGTGCATTGGACTAACAGTTTTATAGAATCGATTCGAGAGCGTTTTTCACGGGAAAGAGATGCAAAAGAAACTAATGAGGCTGAAATTAAAGCATTTATTGGATTGCTTTATCTCATTGGTTTGCATAAATCATCACATGTGTATATACGAGATCTTTGGGCAACAGACGGCACTGGAATAGAAATATTCCGTACAACCATGTCATCAACACGTTTTTATTTTTTATTGAGATGCATCCGATTTGATGATATACAAACTCGCCAGAGCAGAAAAGAATTAGACAAATTGGCCCCGATACGTGAATTCTTCGAAAATTTTGTAGAAAACTGCCAAAAATCGTACAACGTTGGAGAGTACGTAACCATAGACGAGAAATTAGAATCTTTTAGAGGGCGATGTCCATTTCGCCAATACATGCCAAAGAAACCATCGAAGTATGGAATAAAAGTTTTTGCGCTCGTCGATTCGAGAGTGTTCTATACTTGGAAAATGGAAATATATGCCGGTAAACAGCCGAAAGGTCCATTTCAAGTAGATAATTCTCCCAGTAGTGTCGTAAAAAGATTGATGGAACCTCTGTATAATTCAGGAAGAAATCTAACAGTGGATAACTGGTACACTTCTTATCCACTTTCACAAGAACTTTTGAAAAAAAAATATAACAATTGTTGGAACATTGAGAAAAAATAAGAAAGAAATTCCTCCAATATTCTTGAGTACAAAAAAAAGGGACGTTTACTCTTCCATGTTTGGATTTCAGAAAGAAACGACTATTGTTTCGTATGTACCAAAGAAGAGTAAAAATGTTCTTCTGCTCTCAACAATGCATAACGATAATGCAATAGACATCACTACTGGAGAATCAAAGAAACCCGAAATAATAACTTTCTATAATATAACGAAAGGAGCTGTCGATGTCGTCGACGAAATGGCTGCGACATATTCAACAACTAAAAAAAAAACAAATCGATGGCCTATGACGATATTTTATGCAATGTTGAATGTAGCTGCTATAAATGCACGCGTTATTTTGCTATCCACTAAGGAACCACCGACTCAGAATCGAACACGACGTTCTTTTCTGAAAAGTTTGGGATTTAAACTAATCGAAGACTACAAAAAGATCAGAAGCCAGCAAACAATGCTTCCGCAAAGTTTGAAAGTAAAACTGGTAAAGAATGAGGACTCTCAACCATCTGCTAAGAAGGCAAAAGTAATAATTAAAAGATGTGCTGAATGTGGATCTAAAAAGGACAGAAAAACAAAAAACAAAATATATTTGTGAAAAATGTCAAAAACATGTGTGTATGGAACACATGGCATGTATTTGCAGGAAATGTACAGAATAATTGTAAGTAATATTTTAAATATATGTTTAAAACTGTTTCAACTTTTATCTTTTTCTTCTGTTTTATGTTTTGTGTAAATTTTATAGTAGAAAATAGGAAGAAACCACCCTGGGTATGACACACCCAGCGCGTGTAATGCCGTTCGTTTTTTTTCGCGCGTGTAATGCCGGGTTAAGATACCTTTATATCTTAACTGCAGTTGCAGACAAACACTTCTGCAAGTGTTTGTCTGCAACTGTGAATGAAATGCAAATGATTCAAATATTCGTATTTTGGCATTTTAGTTACCAAAGTGTCTTTATATTTATACTTAGTAAAAGCTTATATTCATTATAAAAAAAAATAAAAAGTGAATTTCATACAAGAAAAATTGACAAAAGATACTTAATTTTGAATGTGGGATTTTTTTCAATCTTTTTTTGTTAGCTTTGAAGGGCTTGTTAAAAAATAAATTTTAGACATTTTTTTCCATCTTTAAGGTCTTTAAGTGATATTCGTTTGTGATTTACTAGCCAAGAACTAAAAATACATTATTACTATTTTTATGAAGGTTTATTCTTTTAGAACCGTAATCTAAAAAAAATTGTTGAAACTATAAATACTTTTCATTTTTAATTTACGCAAATAACATTATGTGTTAACTATATGCCACTGCTGAATTCCGTCACTGTTTTTCAAGAACATGGAATCTATGAAATTCTGTGTATAAGACATCATGGGGGGGATACATATATATATATACACACACACACTAATGAATACTTTTCATGACTTAAATAGCTTTGCTCATTATTTAATCAATTAATATAAAAAACAACTCTCAAATCTGATATTTTATTTTTAGTTAGGCATAAACATAAATATTTTGCTCTTCAATTTGCATATCACTGTTAAACATGATTTCAGATTTTAGAATGTTAATTTATGTCTTGCAGGAGTCAAATTTGTTTTGTTTTATTTGGAACAAGTAAAAGCTTTTATTAAATATAACTACAGAACATGAAAGCCATACAAAAAGTTACATTTCTTAATTTTTACAAAATTAATTTTTTAAACTTATGTTAAAGCATGAGTAGCTGCACTATTTTTAGGTATGTTTGTAACTGGAAGTAGCATGGAGCAAAAGAATAAATTATCTAAACACACACACACACACACAAAAAAAAAAAAAAAAAAAACTCTCAGATGACGAACATTGTCTTTAACACTTAAGTTGGCAACAAACAATTTTCGAAGGTGCTTTGAGCTAACTTATAACTTATCCAACATAACACCCAGGAAAATCACTTTAATATTTCTTATTGCTTTAGTATATGGCCAAAGCCTGGCAGAAAATGGCTTACAAGACCATGAATAAGGACTGGAGAAATTTATGGCCAGATTGAATTACAAGCCACACTTTGAGCCTTTTTTTGATTTAAAACTTCTTGCTATTAATGATACTGAGTCTGTAAGCAAAATGCCGGGCTAGAAAGTTAATAATGAAAATGTGGATAAGTTATTAGAGGATCATAAAAATGAGTTAAAGAAGAATGAACCACAACAACTTCAGATGTAGACAAAGGTGAGTGTTGAAGAAATGTCTTCAAAATTAGAAGAAAAACAATTTTCCTTGTTCTCTGATCCATGAAATTTATGCAAAATGGGATAAGATGCAAAGTTGGGACATAATGATATTACCTTGATAAAGTACACATAATGTCTCACTTTAGAAATATTTTTAAATGCAGGAAATAAATCACTTTGGGCAAATTTTGAGTGAAACAGAGGGTTACAGATTTTTAATCAGAGTTTAATGGCACTCACAGACAAAGCAAATATAAAAGAATACATTCTCTAAGATTTAATTATTTGTCATTTTTAAGAAAGTGAATTACACAACAATAACATCTTCTTCTGCACGTGTACACTAAAATTAAATTTTCCTCTATTTTATCTGTTTAATACTGTGGCTCCTTTTTGTTTAAATTGATTGATTTCCATTAGTTTTAGATTATTTGAACCTGTACAACAAAGGACTGTTGAAAAGTTCAAGTAAGCAATCACATGCAGTTGAGAAACAAATGAATCCATTTTACATTAAACCCAATGGGGGAAAACAGTTTCAATTCATGAATACTTCGGTTGACAAATGGCCTTCAGAAAGGAATTAAATTCATGAATAAGTTTCACTGCATATGTCTATGATCAATGGTTGCAAAAATAAAGATAACATAAGAGCTTTTACAGACATGGTGCATGATGGTTAAATAATTTCTCAAGTTATTATCTATTAAAAAATAAAAAAAATCCAACAAATTAAATCGAACAGTTTAATTCATACATATATTTTACTGCATATGTTTAACATGTGATACTTAATCTTTCACAGTAAAAACGAGATCTAGAAATGATCAGTCATTTAAAAATATTTCATGATTATGTATGAACTACATATAAGGAGTGATTTCTTTTGTCAAATAAATTTTCTCTTATCTACCTCTATAGCTATGTCACTTTCGACATTGGACGGTTTATCACAAGTGTACCAAAATTGAAAACAATAGGAAATAACAATGAACCAGCATTTTTCTTTTTTACAAGAACAATCAATCAATATGAATTACAATGAAAGATTTTAAGAGCAGTCAGTATATTCACAATATACATCAATATTTACATGTATATACAATATGAACAATAAATGCAGGAATCAACACACAAGTCTGTTTTGTGCAGAAAAGGGAACTGAGGTAGCACAAAATTTGAGAAGAGCAAAGAAACTTAACAATATTAAAAACATGTTTTGAGAAAATTATCTTTGGTCAAGAGAGGAAAAAGAGAACTTTTTCAGCACTAACTGGAAGGGCATAAAATTCAAATTTCAGATATTTTATAAATCTGTAAATCATAGCAAATAAAATGGGACCATATATTACAGTTACACAAGTTATACAGTCACGCCTTCAGACTGAAAATAAGTTTCATGTAAGTATGAAAAACATAAAGAGGGAAAAAAAGAAAAGAAAGAAAAATACAGAATACACACTTTTAAAAGAAAAATAGAACCTTAAACTAATAAAAGAAAAATAGAACCTTAAACTAAAGAATCAGTTTTAAATACTTTCTTTTTGATTATGCCAGATTAAAAATATTTTATTTATACTAAAACGTATTCTTACAGTTAAGTGTAATGGTGTACTTCAATAAAGTAAATGAAAAAAAGTAAACTGCAATTAATTAACATTATTCTTATATATTAGAAATGAACTGAAAATTGCTCAAATGTATTTTCAAATCTACATATACTGAAATATCACTTGAGTAAAAACTAAAAGAAAGTATATTTCAGTGTCTGATGAAACAATTTCTTAGCATACAACTTGGAAGACACATTTTGTTTATGTATGGATTTATGCATAGCTGAAAAATACTCATAGATATAAATAATAAATCATAGATAATACAAATATCACATTTGGAGAAGTTTCCATCAAACCACATAATTTTTTTAATGCGAGATCTTTTATATCAATTTGGAAAACTCGTCTCAATATAGCTGAATTCAATCTGACTTGAAATGAATTAGAAAACTTCCAAGAATATTTACAGAATGCATACAGCAAAAGCCAATTCCAAACATAGGTGATATAAGGTGTTCCTTAGGGTACCAAATTTCAGAATGTACCACCTAAATCACAAAAATATAAAAGCCTATTTCACTCTGAATAATTAACAGATTTAACTTATATGAGCACAACTGTACTGATCACTTACGATGCTGAAAATGCTGGAGACAAGTCAGCACACAGCTACAATTCAACTTTTTACACAAAAAGAAAATAAAGATGTTATTAACAGTGAAAGTTTTGTAATCAGAAATAAAGTAATATGCAAATCTTATATATAGTATATATATCTTATATATTATATATAGCAAAATATTAAGTATATATGTTTTTTGGCATAAGAATACTAGCAAAACTAAACGTACATGAAATCATAAGTTATCCAGATGTCATATTTTAGAGTACTTAGCAAAACTAAAAATAGGGAAAATCACATATTATCCATATGTCTTATATTTTAAACATTTTAGAATTTAGTTTTAAAATCCACCTCTTAAAAGGATATACCTCTAACAATTATGGAGTGGTTATTTTGAAAACATACAAATACTTTTAATGCACTACTAAAATCTCATTGTTTATACAGACTATCAGAGAAACTCCAATGAGAAAAAATGCTTAACAGATCTTAATATTAGCACATCAGCAAGACAATAATCACATTTATTACAGTTTTTCTGATAACAAGTACCAAGGTCAATAAATTAAATTTAAAAGTTTTCCATTTTAACCATAATATAGTTAATATGAGATGTCCTAGTCTGACAATGATAACATTAAAATCTAACTCACTGAGACATTTTTTAAGATCATAGCTAATATTTTTAAATTTTACACTCAGTTTCACTAATCTCAACAAAAAGAAAATACACTTAATAAGCAACTGTGAAATAGCTAATTTTTTTTTTGTCTGTTCAAGCTTAATAACTGGGAATATTTATTTCATATAATTTCAAATGTTCACCTCTGTTTATGCTTAATCATTAAAAAATAAATACTAAATAACTCTTCAAATTAATACTTTTTTTAAAAAATATATTTAAATTGAAGTTCATTAGTGACATTTTTTATGTTCAATACTTATCATACACTTGAAAAATTTATTTTTGCAAGCAATCTGATTTAAAAGCATAAATTAAAAATCTGCCATCAAGTTCCTTTTAGGAAATAATAACACTTTGAAAAAATGTAAAGCAAATTTTTTAGGGTTGAGTTTTTATGTTCAAAGTAAAGCAATACCTTAATTCAATTAATTAAATTAAAAACAGAACTTTGAATAAAAAAAACTCATTTCAATCTATGCAGTTCTGATAAATATCACAATGCTAAATGTAGGGGATATGATAATGGAGCAAAAACTGATAAGAGAACAGAAATACAGATATATATGATTGAAAATTGCTTAATGAAAAGCAAATTCTAAAAACCTAATTATAACAAACATTTAAATACATCATAAATTCACATTAGAATTGGAAATTTTTGAGTGTTCTTGCAATTCAATATTTGTATCTTTGTGCTCAGAAGATTCCATAGCACTGTTATGCACATTAAGTGTCCTACAAGAGTTTGCATCCGTAATTTCTTGTACTTCATCATCACTATCATCTAAAATTATTTCTTCAGGGACAGATGATACAGATGAAGTTTGAGCACATGCCACTCCTTTTGAGATGCTGTCAATTGCATGAAACACGTCATTCAAGTTTCTTACATTATTGCCACTATGTGATAAACCTATAGGCATAGTATGTGAAGAAGTAACAGTTGAGTTCTTATTTGAAGTTAATTTTGGTACTTCATGTGGTGCATAAGCGTATACAGTTTTACCATTTTTTAGATGCACTCTTTGCACAGAACAAGGACCAAATACTTTTCTAGCTGTCTCAGCTGCTTTGCTTAACAAGTCCACTTTTGTTAGGGGAACTTCAACATCGTGCTTCTGAGATGTGATATGATTGTTATTACCTGAAAGAATAAAAATGATTTTTTTTTTTTTTTTTTTTTTTTTTTTTTTTTTTTTTTTTTTTAAAGAGAGATTTGTTAACAAAGCCACGGGATATGACTTGCAAAGGTCATCAACTTTAAAGACTTTTTAAGAGCATAAAACTTTTTAAGAGCAGTTGGCTTGTATTAACTTAAGTACATAAAAGAGAGGAAAGCAAACACAATCAGCTTATTCATATGCCTAGAACAGAATAAATGATGCACTATTAGTATTTTGCAGGTTTAGCAATGCAACTATTAGCAAAACTGCAGTTAACTTTCTAATGGAATTTGGCTCACATTAAGTACAGAGAAGAGAGGAATGAAACACAACCATCTTATTCAATTGCCAAGAGGTTAATGTGCATAACAGAACACATGATGCTCTACTGTAACAATGTATACATGGATACAAAAGCAATGTTTGTTTCATCAAAGATAATTAACCGTTGAAGGGAATCATCAAAAATTCAGTGTTCATCAATGATGACTACCACTGAAATTTAGTTATAAAAAAAGTTTACTCTTTTCTTTAAAATTTAGTAAAAATATCCAAAACTTGTATATTTGATGAATCAGCAGCTAACATTTATTCAGGACTTCTCTTTGTGGGATCTGAACTTAACACAAAATGTAAAGAAATAGATATACTCTCTGTGCCAATATATTATCACTTAATATCAGGTAACAAAGGACTATTATTCAAGAGATATTTTAAACATTGTGTGATTTGTACATTCAAGAGTTTTCAGTTTTTCCATCATGACTGTGCATACCATGCAAATTTTGCTGTAGATTATTGACAAATACTCTCTGAATTAGAATAGCAAACACTGAAACTCCATGAGCATTTCATTTTTTAGAAACTTAGTTATAAAAAATGTTTACTCTTTTCTTTAAAATTTAGTATAAATACCCAAAATTTTTATTTGATGAATCAGTAGCTAATGTAAGCAAGAAGCATAATACTGCAAATTGAAAATACACAAGGAAATTCTAAAAAGATTAATAAAAGTATGATTAATTGATTAAATGAGAAGCTTGTTAGTAGAAATTAACAGAAAGCAAACAAACAAAATTCAAGATTTTAATATTGATTCAAAACATGCAAGTTTCGTATAATAAAATACAAGATGTATACATACTTTTAAGAGGAAATAACACACTTTGCTTGAAATTTTTAGGATTAGTACATTCTCCTTCAGCTCTCAAATGCTCATCATACTTTAGGTTAGTAGGATTATGAACGACCCTGTTAATATCAGAATTAAAAGTTTGTCTACAAGAAGAGCTTTGTACTGTATTTGACACCTTTTGGGGACTAGAATCATTGGCAGGAAGTTGGGGATGTAAAGTATGGTGATGTGCAGCAACAAGGGTATGAACATCATCATTAAGTGGCATCTGATGGTATAATGGAATCACACCTGTTAAATATTATTAAAATTTAGGTAAAATGACTACTTTTAATTACTAAATTAGTGAAATTATTGCATCTGAATTTTACAGCATAAAACACAACTAATACCTAGATATCATTACTCCTAAAAATATAATGATAGCAAAATTTTCACTTCCAAGCACTAAAAAAACTAATATATAATGATAATACAGAAAAAGCAACCCCATTATTTTCATAAAAGAGCATTACTAAAAGGGAGGGAAGAAAAAAGTTAAACATCCCTTTGCTGATAAAAATTAACTAAGTAAGTATTGCAATATTTTATGGATTTTTTGCAAATATTCAAGCCAGAAAGCTCTGAAATCAGAACCAATGGTCAGTTATGTCTTCTGAGATAAAAAATTAGAACAGTCTGGTAGTTGTACATAATCAAATATTATATTTTTTAAATAACTATACATCATAAATATCATTAAAGCATCTATAACAAAAGAATTATATCAATTAACATTCTTTACAAAAGTTTCTCCTTCCTAAATGAAGTTAATTCATGACTGATATGCATTTGGAAGCAATAAAAAGCCTTGCAGATTTTAAACTCTGAAACTGCTGATAAAAAGATCTAAACTATCTTGTAACATATGGCAAAGAATTCATATGTCCCATATCACTGCCATCAGGCATGAATCTGCTAAATGACTACCCAGAAGAAAAGATGTTCAATAATTTTAGATGCTAGGAGAAGAGGAAATCAACTTATGTTTTATAAAATAATTTCAGATGATCAACTGAGACCGATTTCTTTCAAAAGATTCCTGTTTTAACCACCACCCTCAATCCAATAAAAATTGGACTGCATAGTTTTAATCATAGTTTAACTTAAAATCTGCGAGTCTGAAAAACTCTGAAGAAGTTAGTATTTAGAGAGAGAGAGAGGGTATGAGACTGTCTAATTCAAAAACTGTGATGGGGTTGAGGAAAACCTTGCTGTGTGGCAAAATAGATAAATTTACCAACCCAAATTTAACAGTTCCCCCCCCCACGAGGCATTTCCAGGTGGCCAATGACTGGAAATGGAATAAGCATCATCATCATAATTCATTAATAAAAATTAGAAGCGGCATTTATTTGGCATGTAAAGCATCAAAACATCAAAAAAGTATTTAATTGAAAACAGCAAAATGAAATGAAGATTTGAAGTTTTTGTGCAGTGCTAAATGTGCACTTTTCATTCTTGCTACCCTTACATACTTCATTATTAATCCTCTCAGTGGCACAGCTTTTTGAATCTGCTCATGCAAACCTGTATTTAAACAGCTTCTATACGCTAAATTTTTACAATTATTTTAGTTTCTGTTTTCATTAATTTCCATTCATTAAGATGATATTTAAATTCTTTACGAAAGAAAGCAAAGTATTTTAAATTATAATCCAATATATATCAAGAGAAAAAATCTCAAGACTGGATAAGGGGGGAGCAGACATATAATGCAGCAATGGTATTTCAAAAGCGATATCCACCTAACAGACTTGGGCAAAAAGATTGCTATTCACTTTTTATGATAAAATGCACCACCTATGAACTCCGTCAACTTGACCAGTTGCTTCGGAGCGGAGAGATGTTTCTGGAATCCTTACTGGTCAGAAGGGAGCAGTTGAAGATATGGCTTCATTCTTTTAAATATAATACATTCGAAGATTTTGTCGAGGCCACACAGCATACTGAATTTTCGATTTTTCTATGGTCTTTTCTGTTTGGAATGCACAAGTCTTAGCATACTTCCAAATGGTATGGCCATACCACCTATGTATTATTATACCCTTAGATACGTAATTGCTTATAACATATTTAAGTGCTTTTGCATGCTGTGTGCATACTACAAGTTTATATATATTTTTATAAAACATTTTACTGTCAAAGTAACAAATTCAGACAGAGAGGTAAAATTTTAATACCTGGATATTGCCTCTTCTGAACTTTGTTCTTTTCTGAACTTTGTTCACTCGTTTTTGATTCAATGCTCACAGTTTCCTTTCCTGCAGCCAGCTGTTTCTTACTCTTATCATTGTCACCATCATTATCATCATTATCACTCAGATCAATTACAAGGGGTTCATCATCAGAGGAAACTGAAGAACTTGTTGTTGCTGAAGATACACATACTTATTTCATATACAATAATTATTAATATTAATTAATTAAACTAATAAATCAATACAGAAACTTAAAAAAGAAAGTGTAAGTCTTCTAAAAATATAATTAATGTAATAATTATGCTCTCAAAGAGGGAAAAGCTGCTGCTTTTCGGTACTTATGTATTATCCCACAGACCATGGAACTATGAAAGTTGACAACAATCCTGCCAAAGTTGCACCGTTTCAGCAGAATTTCGAGTTACACTTCTGCCATAACTCTCAAAATAAAACATTTATTAGTCCCCTCATAATCTATCACCCGCTTTGAATTTTACATAAAGACTTTCATCTATTTCTACTATTTTATAAAACCATCCAATTTCACCGGAAGTTCTATTTCAAACACTACGAGTAAAAGCTTACTGCAGGTAATTGCTCTTATATGTTACTGTCATTCTGTACCCATATCCAGCTATTCTGTCTCCATTCAACAAATGTTAATACTTACGATTAACTGTAAATGAACCTAACTACATTTTAAAGTCTACAGCCCTTGAACTACATTCCTTTTTAAATGGATTATTTTCTTGGCACAAATGCTCACTTTGCATTGTCACTGCTGATCCATGGTCACATCAAATCAGAGTGCAGATATTACATATGTGATGCGAAGTCATGCTTATTCATAATTGGTCCATAATTCATAACTGCGCTGCTTGGCGATGGTTTCATAGTCAAAGGAATAATATACAAGTACCTTTTTTCTCTTGAATTACATTAACATTTTCAAATAATACCACACATACATAGTTTTGCAATTATTGGGTCATCCAAAAAATTCTGTGGTTTTCAGATGTCAAACACTGAATTAATGCAAAAACAAACTTTTAATGAATTATACAAGCATTCTAGTCTAGAAATAACATTTTGATTATACTCATTAGGATTCAAATGATTTTAATGTGAATTCTGTTCTTCTATTTTAAATACCTTCATAAAATGAGGGTTATGGTTAACTCTCAGAAGTTGTGTTTCTTGACAGATTATATGCTAAGTACACTTAATTTCTCTTGTGACTATGCTAATATAAGAATTAATTCTTCTCTATACTGGGTGCAACATAGTTCTGCATCCTCATAGTGCACCCTGGGCAATCTCCATGAAGACAAAGTGAAATACAATTTTGGCATGTGATCTTTTACAGCTTTACACTTCGAGCCCTCCCTGACATAAATCCTTGGATTTTAGTGTTCTGCAGTGCAATGCGAGTGGTTTGTCCCAGGCTAAGAAGGTCTATGAAACCCTCTTAAAATATGAATTGATGTTTTTACCATTGTGGAGGCAAATCTGATGATCAATTTTTTTTTTTTTTTTTTTTTTTTTTTTTTTTAAGGGTATATGATCTATTTTCTTCCTAAATTCAGGCAGGTTGCCAGTAGAATCTTGGTCGGAGCTAAATGTGGTCTTACATCTGGTTTCTGAGGTTATCAAAACTATAGATAAAAGTAAAATTGCAAAATTTAAAGTGTGGAAAAACAAAAACCTTTCGAAGATTTATGCCGTCTACATCTCTCCCAGCAACAAACCTAATTAATTAAGACAAATATCGATTTTAATGTCCATTCAAAAAGATAAGGCTAAGGGGATTCATATACCGCTGGGCAAAAGCTAGAAGACATTCTCATTTCCACTCCTTTCGAACTTATATAATGCATGGGGGATCCACATACTTACACTCACTATAATGGAACTTGTAGCACACCTAACTTACTTTGCATTTCTGTTCATATGGGTACTTACACTAAACATAAAATTAATGAAGACTCAGGTTATTAGAGCCACAGACAATTCATTGCCAATGTTAGTATTAACAAACCAGGCTATTTGGCTCACAACGAAAATCATCATAAAGCATCACAGAATCAAAGAAAGCAAAGCGGAAAACATTTACATAACTTCTTTACCAAGGACTAGGGAATGAAACAGTTGGTCTTTGACTGTTATCCCGATAAGCTTGTATGGGAAATAAATGGAGCTATCACAAAATGTGCAAGAGCACGCATCCCTAGAAATAAAGTTAGAATTTAGAAATGCTTCTGCTCCCCAGAACTTGTGGAAATGAAGAAAAATGTGATAAGGCTTAGATGAAAGGCTGAACTCCCAGGAAAACCAAGTGATGTATGTAACCTCCTGGAGAAGACAAGCGGAAATTTTTAGAAAAGCAGGATGCGAAACGGAAGGCCTTTAAAAACTTTATTTCTAATGCAAACTATAGCATGGATAGTTTAAAGATCTATAAATTATTTGCCAATATTCAGAATAAGAGATTAGTGTCCAAATGAGAACCTAATTTCTACTGAAAATAAAATCTTGACCTATCATAGAGACAAACTAAATTCTTTTGGAAGCAACTATGCTTAATCTCAAGAGAAATTAGCCCTCAAATGCTTGAAAGTTAAAAAATCCCCAGAAGATAACATTGTGGAATTCCTCAAACATCTTGGTGAAGTAGCAAAGAGGGCCATTTTAAAAGTTTTAAACTCTATTTGGGAGACAGGATTGGTCCTCCCACTTTGGAGAAATGACGCTACTATTCCAGTACTAAAGAATAGTAAAAGACAATGGAAAGACTTCAGAAATCGGTTAAATTAGTACCTTCAGAATTATAATCTACTTTTAATGCAGTAGGCTGGTTTCCATAAAAATAGATCAACAAATCAATTTATTAAAGATGTACTTGACAAAAAGAATATACTGACAGCTATATATATGTCGACTTCAAGAGTGCATATGATTCTATCTGGAAAGAGAGACTCTTGCAGAAATTGTTAAGCTACATTTCACACATTCAACTAGTTTCGATCTTTTCTTGGTCAAAGAACATGTTGCGTCAAATACGGAAATGAATTTTTAAAGTATTTTATGTATGGTCTCCCTCCGGGGATGCAGCAGCTGTACCCTTTTTAATGCCCATATCAATGACTTAATTTAAATTCTAAACACAATAAGAGGCATTAAATGCTTTTTATTTGAAATAACTTAAGTGACCTGGATCCAGGCACCGATGAAAAATGTGAACAGCTTTATTAACAAGACATTCAAAAAAGCACTTAATGTACTTTCAGAAAACAGACCAGATTTTTGTCAGGATTTAAAATATATAAACCACTCCACTGCATGCACAGATGTTTTTATTTATTTAGGTATTTTTTATAGAAAATTGCTTTGGAAGCAGCATATTGAACCAATTTCAAAACAAAACTGAATAAATTGAAGCACTCGGAAGGAACATTGTTGAGTAGTTTCTGCTCCACTCTTCAGTATGACTTATACAACCTTTGTATTGTCCTGTAGTGAATCACATATAACAATCTCAAATTCTTTGTTTAAAAAACTAGAAAATCTACAAAACCAAACATTAAGGCTTATCATTAGGGCAGGCTTATCATTATGCATATTGATACAATGTTGGGAAAATTTAGTATTTTTCAAGAGAGACCTTCAATACTTTATGAAAAACTTATTAGACTTGAAGATGCTTTCTGGAGGAATTACCAACTTGAAAACAGAAACCTCACAACACAGAATGGATTTTCCCAGACGATTTTGGCCTATGGGAAAATCTTTAAATTTCACAACGTGCAACTGCTGATGAAATCCAGAAATTCCATGGGACTGATAGGTCTAGAGGCAAACTTAAATTTGACTCAGTTCATATATATAAAGGCTACTTCACTGGATGTAATAAAATGTATCACTTTGGGGACTACTGAGAGTAAATATCCTGAAAATAAGTGGCTCACAGCTTTCAAGACATGAGAATGTTGGAGCTGGAGTTTTCTCGAAATTATTTTCCTTCTGTGCATCAGTTAGAAAGTATTGTACAGATTTTCCTTTACACCCTCATTTTCCTGCCAGAATGAGTTTTCAGTTTCATGCTTTATGAAAAGCAGGGTGGAAATTACTGTTTAAGCCGATGTCTTCTGAGCTACCTCAAAGAGTGTGTTCTGTCTGTCGGCCACATTGTTGCTAATAGCTAAAGCTTGCTATTTTATGGCCGTACATATTAATTGCTTGTTAATCTACGTCAGTGATAATAACCAAAGAGCTAAATACACTTTAAATTTCTCTGTACAACTTTGGCTGATTATTCAAACTTAGTTTAGTTTTATATTTTCTACTTTTAAGTTAAAGCCGTAAGTGCTGATTATTTGTATAACCAAGTGGGGGCATCTCTGAATCTATCAGCTATTATAAAAAATAATAATAACTATGCTTTAAATTAAATATGCTGTACAACACACAACTTAAAACAGAAAACTTGCTTCTAGTGCATTAAAAGCAGTAAAAAAATGTTAGAGCATGAAATTCATCCAATTCCTTATACTGTGGATGAGAAGTAGGCATTCCCTTTGCCTCTTGTAAATATTTTGTCAGCATTCAGCTGATGCTCTTTAGTATGCACAATGGATGACGGATGGGAAGAAAGACATATGAAGTGATAGCATGCAACTCATTTCTTTTTGAATAACTGATTTTACATTGGTTTGACAGTTGTCCTAAACTGTGTAACTAGGATTTTCAGACACAGCTTCTTTTAATAGATCCTTGTTTACAAAGGATGGTTGTCCAAATAAGCATCATCTTTGAGGCAGAAATTTCTATGCTTAAACGACCTTCAAACTACTTCATCAGAAATAGCACTTTTTCCACAGTACAAATTTTACAAACAGCATCAAAGCCATTTTTTTAAAAATAAAACAGCATAATATGACAAAATGAACAGTTCTCCATTCTTATCACTGCACTGAGGACATAATTAAACACGCACATCAACAATGTCAGTCTTATCAGCAATAACAAAATAATTAGAAGAAAAGACACTTTGATTTGAAAAACTGCAGAATTTTTGGAATGATCCAATATACATAACAAAACTTATTCTGGATATAATGGGCTTAAAGCTGAAATATAAAATCATGCCATAATTTTATATGGAATTATACAGGGGGGAGACTCCAGCTAAATGTCAAGCAATACTGATTAAATAAAAGAAAGTTAAAATCTTTTGGAAAATATATCACAATATCTGACAAAGGTTGCTTTAATAATTGCTTATGGAATACTTTAAAATGATCTCATGTATTTGCATATACAGGAGTTACAAAGTTATGGAGTTATCTTGTAAAAGAATAAATTCCTTTATTAACAGCAAATTGTTCACTCATGATGCATGCTTGAATTCTTCTAGGAATGATAAATACAAATCTTGAATTGGGATTTTATACTATTTTTCCTGTAAAACTTGTTCAAATATGGGTAAAGATGCTGGAAGTGCATAATGCACTACAATCTTGTTCTTCAAAAATTTACTGCAGATATTCCAAGGTCTGTCTATTCAAAAGGATCATGAAAGACTCTCAGAAAATCATAACAGGATAATATGAGAAGCATGAATTAGTATCTTTTTTTTTTAAAAAAATCAATGACATCTTCTGCAGGAAACAATATTTAGATCATAGAATCTCTTGCTCACAAAGCTGGTAATACGGACAGCTGCTATCAATATATGACCATATGTTGGCCATGCTGTCCTGACTTTCCAGCTACAGAGCATGTTCGACTATTGCTTTAGCCAGCACATTATCCAGATCCTGGTCATGGGTTGCCAAGAGACTGGCATGCCATTATGATTGATGAACTTTGACAAAATTTATGCCACATAGGATGGCATACCCATATCTCAGTTCAACTTGATACCAGAGATGGCAGCTCTGTGCACTGAATTCTGTTCGCTGTATACATAAAACTACTTGCTATTTAATCATATCTTCCTCCCATTACACTGCACATGTACAATAAATAAGATTCTGCTATTTTGTTTTCTTCCAGGTGTAACAATTTTAATAGCCAGAAGTGTATAAATGCAATCAAATTGGATGCGATAAATTCCAGTTTTTAAAATAATTCAGCTGCTAATTACGAAACATAACACCACATGCATGCCTACTCGTTAATAATGCTGAAGGCAGAGAAAAACGAAAATGAGAAGAAAAATTGAATAAATGAAAAGCAGTAAAACGGAAATTCTTACAAAAATGTTACTCCACAATTTTAATTTTTTGGGAGAGACACAAAAGAGAAGATCAAAATATAATAGCAGCACTTTTATCTGATCTGGGGGTAAAAAAAGCACTACTCAAAACAAATTAATAAAATAACATACTCCTAATCCAATAAACGTCAAGAATTTATTTCATGACTGTTAATATAAAACTGAAACAGCAAGAACAGAGTTTTCTAAGATTATTTTCTTAATGTATAACATCATTTCTTGACATTAAAACTGTATAGTTTTTGACAGAAAAAGGAGGGGGGATTATTTAGAACAAATTTGAATATGAACAGTTTTTGCATTTTTTATTCGAAAAATATTAAACAAAAATAGAGACAAACTATATTTAACTATTTTCAATTTCCTTAGTACAAATAACATTACAGTTATTCAAAAGTTTTAAACTAGTAACATAATTTAAAATGTAGCTTGCCTGATACCATTTTTACAAAGAGCCCACAATGTAAATATTATTATTTTATGCTTATACTCTTCATAAACAGAATATTTTTTTTTATTTCTTTACATCAAGAGAAAGGTAAAATATGTATTAGCGCAAAGATATGCATTCATGTAGAGTTACTCTGAATAAATTGATGTACTCACTAGTCTGGGATGACAGTTTCTGGCTTTGCACTTCTGGTGCAGCAACATCTTCATTTTCCCTTTCATGCCGTATTTGCTTATTTTCATTTTTGTATTTTACTGCAAGTTCAGTTTCGTCTCCTTTTCTTTTCTCGGCAGTTAATATGGGTTTATTATTCAGAACCGACTCATATGACTGCTTTGAAGATGAATCTATTACTTGAACATCTGAAGAATCATCAGCTTTAGTTCTGTGTGACGATCTCAGAATTCTTTTGTAGCCTGATTCTGGTTCTGAGAAGAAAAATACATAGCTTATTCTTACCTCCAAAGAAATGAAATGTTAATGAAAACTTACTTGTTTTTCTCCAAAGAAGTTAAAGTGAAGAGATACACAGAAAAACATATGTATGCCAATAAATCTTTTTAATGTTTATAATTCATATTTATACACACCTTACTTCCCCAAATTACTTACATCTTTAGAAAACAAACTAAAATTAAATGATATTGAAGAATTACAGTTTGGCTGATAAAGCATTTACTTAATACACTGATGATGATTACTTGATACACTTATAAATCACACTTTACTAATGAAGATTTTCCTAAATGAAGATTATGCCTTTCAGTTACGTAAACATGTAAATAAGATAACAGATAAAGGAGAGGGAGGAAACCGAAGATAAGGCAAGAGTTAAGATTTTGCTGCAAAAATTCCACTAAAATTTCAAACCTGTATATAAGCAAATGCTACAGACATAACTGAAGATATTATTTATAAGGCAGATAAAGAACATGTCAATAGAAAAATGAATGATGATGCCATCCAGATCTGCCAATAGCAGAAAGAGACTTTAAGAATTGCTATAAAATTCTGAAGTCAAAAATTAAAATCTGATAAAATGTCCATTAGGATAAAATAAAATATAAATAACATTTGCAGTTAAATAATCATTTATTTTGTGATCAAATTATTTGTAAATGATTTTGTACTCATATTTAAGCTGATTCCCAAACTTTGGATGCAAAAAATTTGCTAAAAATTCTCAGAATATATATAGAACTATATGGTTATTATGAAATGCAGATTTTTAATTGAAACACAAGATTTCCATACTTACGTACATAAAATGAGTTCTATGTAAGGTTTAAAAAATTTTTTTAGACTTTAGCTATTTAACATTGAAAATTTGAATGTACTTCCAAATAATTTAACATTTAATAGATGAATGTTGACACATCACAGAAACTTTGCTTTCGTTTATGACTTTTTAATTTATTACTATTTCATTTTACATGCATAATTTGGGAGATGCCCTCCCCAGATCTTTTAAGTGAAATTTAAATTGAGTATTAGCAATATTTACAGTTAAACAGAACTTTATGCTAAACTAAAACTAGAATTAAAAAATTATTAATAACAATGATTTGATGTTATTGCAAAAATGAATAATGACAACAAAATGAAAAATCATTGTATTAGATACTATACAAAGACTAAAAAAACGTTAAGCTCTCTCAAGTTGCTAAATTTATATATTTTCATCACACATATAGCATGATGGTAATAAATATTTTAACTATGTCAACAACTCAGCTTATAGCTAGTGAATGACTAACAATTATACCACGTAATATTAAGTATTGCAGCCTAAGAAAAATAGCAGAAAAAGAACAGGAAGATAAAACACCTTAACAAATATTCAGAATATCCCTGAGCAATAGCAGAAAAAAAATAATTAACATAAAAATGATTAATATTATTTCAGCCATTTTGGCTATATTATCTTATTGGGTTGGCTACTAAGTAATTGTGGATTTCACTCATAGATGGCTTCAGTTAAATTTTTAGGGTTGCAGACATAGTACAAATGTAAAACACATTTTGTTATTTGATAGTTGGCAATTCAGCTGTCAATCAGTAAAAAAAGTGTTTTGATCGGTTGCGTAGTTTTCGTTTGGCATTCGTTGAAAAATGGAAAATCAAAAGGAACATTTTCGTCATATTTTGCTTTTTTATTTCCGCAAAGGGAAAAACGCATCGCAAGCTCATAAAAAGTTATGTGCTGTTTATGGTGACGAAGCCTTAAAAGAACGGCAGTGTCAAAATTAGTTTGCCAAATTTCGTTTTGGTGATTTTTCACTCAAAGATGAAAAACGCTCTGGTCGTCCAGTTGAAGTTGATGACGGGATCAAAGCTATAATCAATTTGGATCGTCTCAATACAACACGTGAGATTGCAGAGAAGCTTCATGTATCACATACATGCATTGAAAATCACTTAAAACAACTTGGCTATGTTCAAAAACTCGATACATGGGTTCCTCACGAAATGAAAAGGAAACGCATTTAACGCAACGCATTAACAGCTGCATTTGCGTAATGAAAATTCCCTAAAGAAAGAACTAAAGAAACGTAATGAAAATGATCCATTTTTAAAACGACTCATAATTGGTGATGAAAAATGGGTTGTTTACAACAATATCAAGTGGAAAAGATCATGGAGCAGGCCAGGTGAACCAACTCAAACAACATCAAAAGCTGATATTCATCAAAAGAAGGTTTTGTTATCAGTTTAGTGGGATTACAAAGGAATTTTCTACTTTGAACTCTTACCACCCAACCGAACGATCAATTCTGATGTCTACATTGAACAACTAACGAAATTAAACAATGCAGTTGAAGAAAAGCGGCCCAAATTGACAAACCGAAAAGGTGTTGTATTCCATCATGACAATGCAAGGCCACACACATCTTTGGTCACTCGGCAAAAATTATTGGAGCATGGTTGGGATGTTTTGCAACATCCACCATATAGTCCTGACATTACACCATCTGATTACTTTTTGTTTCGATCTTTACAAAACTCCTTGAGTGGTAAAAATTTCAATAATGATGATGATGTCAAATCGTACCTGATTCACTTTTTTGCTAATAAAAACCAGAAGTTTTATGAACGTGGGATTATGATGCTGCCTGAAAGATGGCAAAAGGTCACTGATTAAAATGGGCAATACATTACAGAATAAAGTTATTTAGTTCCATGAAAAAATTGTCTTTAATTTTCTAAAAAAAAATCTGCAATTACTTAGTTGCCAACCCAATAATTTCATGTTATTAATAAAAGTACACAATTAATGCAACTAAGGGTTAGAAAATATGATTTCTAAATGTTCTCCTAATGAAGAGGAGATATATTAAAAACATTTTCTATAGTGCATTATATTTTTCCAAATTATATTTGCTAAAAAAATTCAGAAAATGCACGAGAATTACTATTATTTATATTCTGGAGCATCTGCAAAATTGTCTCTTTCAGATGACAAAACTATGGCAATGAAAGATGTTTAAATACAAAATACTTAACAGCTCTGAATGCAGAACAATGACTTAATCCGCTAATCTCTAATAATTACTCAGATAAAAACAATATTTTTATAAAATCTTCTAAAATAGTTTTATTTTTAAAAATATAAATTTGGAGAAGTGTGCACAAGATGCACATGTATGCAATCTTGGAAAGTAGTGCAGCATTTTCTATACAATTTAGTATGAACTTCATCATTATTTTTATTTCTCGTGCTTAAATAGAACAAATTCTTCCCCAACCCTGCCAAAAAAAAAAAAAAAAAAAAAAAATTCTACACTACATATATACACAGCTAGTCAGTCCCAAAATGTCAGTCATAATACAGCAGTGGGTTATCATAACATTTTTTCATGGAATACGTAAAGTTTTTGGATACTTTTTGTAATTAGTCATTCACTTTTACTTCCTTCCAGAATTCTTTCTCTTCGATTTTTAATACAACAGTTATATTCAGGTTATACATACAAATGCATTTACAAATTTGAAAGCATATTTTTAAAGATACATCTAACAGTTACTCACGTGGGAGGTAAAAGAAAATAATGAAAATAAGAAAACTGCATGTATGATAATTTATAACTTACAGATGCAGTATGACAATTAAATAATGATTTTTTATTTATTTTTTAAATGCAGAAGACAGAAATAACTGATATATGAGGATTAGTCCAAGATAATTAATTTATCTTGAAATGTATTGGCCAAAGTCTGATCTTCATATGGTAATACCTCTTTTTTGAAATAGTCACTACTGAAAGCTATATACTAGGCCCAAGTTGTTAGCCACTTCTGGAACTCATTATCAAGTTGATGCAACAATTGTTTACATTTATTTGCTTGCATCTATTTGTTTACAACATAATTAACAAATTTCAATATCCATCAATAGATATTACTCTACTTCTTGCAAAATTGTCTAACTGCAACACACATTTTCACAAGTTAAACACATTAAATTCTCAACTTTAAATACTTTCAACAATAATATAATAAATCTGAAAATTTTTCTTCTCTTTAACTGTTATTAATAAATGCCTTTAACAAGGCGTTTATTAATAATAGTTAAAGAGAAGAAAAATTTTCACTTAATAATAGTTATAATTAATAATAGTTAAAGAGAAGAAAAATTTTTCTTCTCTTTAACTGTTATTAATAAATGCCTTTAACAAGGCGTTTATTAATAATAGTTAAAGAGAAGAAAAATTTTCACTAGTCAGCTCATTTTATGGTACATACACTGAAAATGAAACTTTGAAAACTCAGAACAACAGTGCCTTTAAATCATGCACTGCAAACCACGGAAATAACAAAGTGTAAAAAATATTACAAATATTCCATCAATCGCTTTTTCATAACTAGGCTTTGATAGAAAAATAATCGCACTTTTTACTTGACCTGCTTATACATTATCAAATGAAAGCAAAGAAGAAAATATTTACTTCCTTCACAGGAACAAGAACAATCAATAAATGCATTAACAGAATTAGCCTTGACAACTCCTTAGTCTTGCAATCATAAATCTTACATCCTGGAAATACTTCCGAAGAATACTGTGAGGCACTGGCACTTTCTGTGGGAGAGAGAGAAGACGCCAACACCAAAGAAACACATAGAAAAACAACAAAACGGAGCACACGGAATGATTTTTGCATTGTATTTAAAAACATAATATGCTGAACGTGCCAAATGGTTTTAAAACAAAATCTTAATAACAGATTTGTGAGCTACATGAAAGATATAGTTGTTGTACTGTATTTACCTTGAATAAAAACATTTAAAAAGCACAAGTTTATTTGATGTTTGACGCCAAATAAGGAAAGAAAAAAACCCACAAACATCAGTCACGACAAATACAATAAAAGAATCAAGGCAAGATGAAACTACAAGACAGGATTCAATTCAGTCTTCTTACGTAGATATT